CCTGCTGAAGTCAGGTGAGACCAACCGTCCAGCACCACTCAGTCTGGACTTAGTCCATGGTTCAGTCTGGGCTTTTTTTTTTCTAAGTCTGGTTCTGGTTGATTCTTCCAGGTTGTTTGGAGGTGGTTTTAGTGCGGATGTGTCGGGCCTTTAATCCACTTAACAACACGGTGCTGTTTGAGGGAAAGTATGGAGGAATGCAGATGTTCAAAGCTCTAGGTGAGACTTAACAACATTAAGGTGAAAATCAACAGATTTTTTTTACATGCCAATGAAAATGTATTCCCTCTGTTTCCTCAAAGGTTGCGATGACTTGGTGAGTGCAGTCTTTGACTACGCCAAGAGTATGTGTTCACTGCAACTGACAGAGGAAGAAATCGCTCTCTTTTCAGCAGCTGTGCTCATTTCCACAGGTGAGTCTACATCACATCATGTGAATAATCAATATATTTAAAACACTTTGTAAAAAAACTATTTTCAACTTAAGAGCCACAACACTGTCTCAGAACTTTAACAGAACCACATATTGGCATCTTTCAGATCGTCCATGGCTGATGGAGCCTCGGAAAGTCCAGAAGCTCCAGGAGAAGATCTATTTTGCCCTGCAGCACATCATGCAGAAGAACCACATGGACGAAGATGCTCTGTCTAAGGTTAGCTAAGCATTAGTTCTTTAAAACAAAATAAATGTTATCAGGGAAATATTGCAGAAATAAAGCAACATTACATCTAAAACAACCTTACACCAAATATGACATATATATTATATATATTTGTGGGGGGTGTGCTCTAATTCAGGGGTGACCCCGCTAGTTTGGCTTAAGGGCTATTCAATGACCAATCTAAAGAGGTCTAACTATGAACGATGAAAATGTTAAATATAAATGTACTCTTTTAAACTCAACAAACTCAGTCTGATCTTGAACTCTGTTAATCTTGTGTCCGTCAGCTGATCAGCCGAATCCCGACATTGTCGGCACTGTGTACTCTTCACACTGAGGAGCTGCAGGCCTTTCAGCAGCTTCATCCAGAAACGGTCAATGTTCTCTTCCCACCACTGTACAAAGAACTGTTTAACCCAGACCCCAATTCCACCATGACCCTGACCAAGTGACCCACAACCCCAACACCGCCACGCCCCTGCCGAGATGAGCCCAAGCTCCAACTCTGCCATGACTGAGTGACAAACTGGCCCACAGACATATTTCTGCCATTACCTTTCCCAAGTGACGCACTCCCCTACTGCTGCCATGACCCTGGGCCAGGGTGAGCTTTACTCAAATGCTAATGTTGCGATGACGCTTCTCCCTATTACCCAGTGCATAAAAGTTGCCAGCAGCGGGACCAAGTGACCCACAATTCCAGTAAAGCCATGACCCTGTAGAAGTGACCCACACGAGCCACACCAATGCTGCCATGACCCCCTTCACGTGCAACAGTGGGGACCATGGAATCCAGACCACAATAGTGTCTAAAGATGGATAAATGCAACAGTAGGGATTCTGACTCCATGACGGAGTTGGTGACGTCTACTGAGCTCCGTCAACCTTGTGTCAGGCAGTGAGAATTTGTCTGACGCAAAGTCAGTCACTGCCAACAAGACCAGGAATGTCCAGCACTTATGTCCACCTGTTTCACAGATACAAGTGGAAGAATGTATATATAAAATTATACAACACACACACACACACACAGAGAAATTGAACAGACTCCGAGCCACGACCTGAACGTCGGTTCTCACCTTGACTGACTAGAAATGTACAGACTTTAAAAAAGACATTTGACGTCTTCAATCCTTTATGGAGATAACAATGAGGGAAGATTATTTGTTTTACTTTAAAAATAACTTTTTATTAAAACTGGAAAAAATGTCTTGGGGGCGGGAACTGTTGTAGAGAGTCCTTTAGTACAGAGCAGATTCCAGTATTAAGTTAGTCTTAATTTAAATATCCAGCTTAACTTTGTCCATGTGTTGTTTTTATTTTTAAAAAAATAATCATTCAATAGTTTGTGTACAGAATTTGTAAAGTCAAAACATTCTAAATGATTTGGGTTAGAGAGTGGGATTTGGCTGGATTGGGAGTTCTTACTCAAGCCTTGTCTGGATTTTGTTCGTACGTGAGTAAAGAGGCTGAAGTTTCTTTGTATTTATTAACTGTTAATGTAAAAAGAGAATATGAAGGACTTAAAACAGAAATAAGTGCTTAGTACTTTTCAGGCGGATGATTATCTATCTAAATATTCTATTTTGCAAAAAAAAAAAGGCTAACAATCATCTTTTTTCCATGTTGCAATAATTATGTCCAATAAAAAATGGACAGCTATTGAACAATCAGCTAATCAGAAACCAGGAGCCTGCAATAATACCCACCCTCTGAAACTAGTGGTGAATTTCTCATTTATTCTTTCATGTTGGTGCGATACTTGTTGTAAAAAAAACCCAGAATCTAATTTGAATTGAGACAAACTTGAACCTGGACAATCATTTTAGCATTATTCACAGTTTTTATACTCATCCTCATGTTACTATTTGCACAATCCAGTTTAGGGATGTAGACCACTCCGGACTGAAATTATGAAGGAAACATTTTTAAAAGGCCTCGGATGCTGTCGTTACCACTACCGTCCAGAAGAGGGCAGCATTTAAAAAACGATGCACTATATTTAGATGTTGTTAACTACTGAACCTCATCCCACAGTTGTACAAGTAGTGTAAGTGTGCGTATACTTCATACTTCAACCTTCAAATCGGTGACTGACATTTGTTTCACAGAAAATGTTTTATGATTTTTAGGCATCTTCCACATCAAAGTTAATACAAAAGTGAGTAATCTTGGTTAATATAACGATTAACTACTGGCCCACTGCTGCCTCATGTGGTCACTGTGGTGTATTTCTGTGGTCAGACATGAAACCACCCTGTAAATTCAATAACAGCTCATAAAGACCAAGAAGTTCTCATTAAAAAGCACTTAAAATTAGGAATTCTTCCCTGTGTTAATTACCTTTGATGTTAAATCGTTTTTTAAATAATATTTTTTCAACTCCAACACCAGACCTGAGAAAGGAAAAAGAGACAATCACTTAAAACCCAATGCACTAATTGCAGCAGAATCTCAGGGAGCAGCTTTTCTCGCTTTCATCTGAAGTGGGACCAACATTTTTGCAAATGAAAAACACAAATTATAATGTAACTTTTTAAATTGTTCAAATCTTTATCTGAAATGGAATCTGCCCAGACAAGGCTTTGATAAGTGTGTGTGTTTGTGTGCGTGTATGCATGTGTGTGTTTTAGTGTGACTTTGCTGTCCAAATGTCTTTTACGCTCCAGAATTTTAATAATGATATTTTGTTTATTGTAGCATGTAGAAAATGTTAACTAAATACATTTTCTAATTCTAATTCTGACCTTGTTTCATGTCCAGTCACGAGTTTAGTTGTTTATCTCCAGCGTCATTCATCGCTCCAGTTGTCAAACTTCTGTGGTGTCAGTTCTCGGAGACTGTTGTTGTGTTTACTGCCTAATGCTGCTTATTGTAAATGAAGTAATTTCAGAAGTAAAAATGTGAATCAAGCGCCATCTTAAAAAAAATAAGAGTGTCAGTGAATCCATGATTCATGATTGTTTTTATTCTTTCTTGTTTAGACTGTGAAACAGGGTGGAGACAGAGTTTATGATCATGTGACCAGTCTGTCAGTAAAAAACTGTAGCAAAAAAACAAAACAAAAAGTGACAGCAACTACTGCTGTCATGGTTTGCTTTGTAAGATTATTTTATATTTTATTATGATTAATAATTATTATTGTTGTTCTTACTCTGACTCCTATTCTATTACTATTAGACTCTTGTTGTTCTGTTCTATTTGCATGATGTTTCATTTATGTTGAAACAAGTTTCGGGGCTTCTTTGTTGTTTTTCTCTTCTAATGAAATATTTCTGGGGGGGGGGTAGGGTTTGTGGGAGGGGTTTATTAAAGTTAGTGGGAAAAAATCTAAACAATACAATCATTTCAAAGCAATTTTTGAAAGATTTTTTAAATAAAATGCTGTTATTTATGAACAATTGGTTTTGATTTACTTTTTCAAACACTACACTAACACTGGACAAAGTCAATATTACAGATTACTGGAACAGATTTGTGCAGATAGGTGTAACGTCATGACCGGTGGCAGGTCGGAGTTCTCATCTGTTGCTCTTTTTTGAATGTCACCTTTTCAAAAATAAACATTTTACTTACATTAATGTAAGAGTAATGTTCCTTTATCTTGTCACAGATATTGGAATGCCAGATTAAATATTTTTTTAGAATTGTTTTTAGCATTCTACACAGTGAATTACACAATAACAACCGGGATTCGATCTTTCCCAGGAGGTGAACCCTGGGGTTGCACACCAATGACAGAGACATTGTAATACCAAAGAGCCATGGTATTACTTACTTGCCAAATTAGAGCAACTTTGAGAATTTTATTTTTTTTAATTTGTCGGCAAATTCCGAATTTAGCATGTCAATTTGTCAATTGGTGAAAAATGAAACTTTTTTTCCAAAAATTGTCTTTAGAAAAGTTTTTTAGAAAAAGTTTTTAATTTAATTTGTTTTTGAAAAAAAAACTAAATTAACATGACATTTTTGGTCAGATGTGGAAAAACCATGTCTTTTTTTGCAAGCTCCACCCCCCAAAACCAAGTCGTATAGGGCGCCATTAATGGCGGGGTGTTGTTCAGCCATTCCAGGTGAGCACATTCATTCATTCTTTTGTTTTGTCTGTACAGCAACAGGAAAGTAGCAAGTCAAAAACACCAAAGTGAAATCACAAGTCACTGATGTTATAGCCCAAGTTGTTAGCCTAAGAGACTAGTTGTAAGTCTCTCTACTTTTTGTGAAGTCGAGTCCAAAGTCTTAAAAGTCTTCAAGTTCAAAGTCATCAAAGTCTGACTCAAGTTAAAGTCATGTGACTCGAGTTCACGCCTCACCTGATTTTGTGCTTTGTCACATTCGCCCCTTGCTGTAACATTTTAGTCACATCGCTCTTGTGCTTCCTCACAGTTGATAAAGTTGAGGCTGCTGCCCTGAAAACAAGAGCCCACTCATTTTTTCTTCTTTAGTACTTCTTTTATGTACATGAAGTGAAATGATTTTAACATCAGTTAAAAAACGTAAAAACTCTGCACATATTCTGGCATCAGAGATAAAATATATCTTGTATGCAGTAGCAGCTCGTGGACGACATGATATCAGTCGACTGCGATGAAAGGGATTCCATTCTATTCACAGCAGATAATGTGTCATTATACTTCCTCCACTTTATGACATTATACATAGAGAATGAAGAGGTGTTATTGTCCTCGTTCGACGGCTAAGAAATAATTACACACATTTGTTTGTAAGTTATTCGTTTCATATCTCAGACTATTTTTAAAACACAATTTAAACCTTTAATATAACTCAAAGTTCTAACCTAATAACAAATAATTAAATAACTAAAACTCTATCATATTAATGAATATATACATGTGCAGAGGAATATTTTAGTGATTAAAATGTTCACAATTTAAACAACTTTGTAGAAAATGTACCAAAACATACATGTGTATCAAATTCACTTTACTGCAGCTTTCGAACACAGTCGGACACAAATAATAGATTTACTTAACTTTTCTTTGTGAAATGAACTTTTTAACCTTTTTTATTAAACTTTAATTCATACAGACGAGCTCCTGCAAAAATTGATGCAGTAATTAAGAAGTTGAAAATATAAAAAAATTCTTACATCCATTCAGATATTTGTCATTCCTCACAACACAACAACATTTATGTCATCCAATCACGTGTACCGTTTTTGCTTTATAAATCAACAACTGTAACAAAAACAACAACAACAAAACAGAATAAAACAGTATGGCTCATATTCAGGACCAGAGCCGCAAACCACAACTTAGAAAATCACAGAAGAATAAAAGTGCATCAAAAAAATAAATGTTCAGTCCATGTACTTTACAGGCAGTGTGGAGCAATGCATGATGGGAATCTGTGGTCCCTCAACACACGTAAAAATAGACAATGGTGCAGACCACTGTCTGCATTTATAAAAAAATCTTCCTGAGAGCAGCCTCAGGTCCAGGCTAGTTGGACACAGGTTTGGAAGAAAATACACCCTGCACCCACCCTACAGGTGGAAGTGACATAATTGCCTACATCAAAGTTGACGTCATCAAAGCTCAGACCTTTGGTGGAGGGACTGGCCTCAGTGCCTGCACAAAGACAAATGGATGATTGAATAAACTTTGGCAAGAATAATAAAAAAAAAACAAGAGTAAAAAAAAAAGAAGTTTGACTTGAGGCTGACACTTCTCAGCTGATTTGATTTAGATGGACGAGAAATATTAAACAAATCCATGAATAAATCTAATTTTGTAATTGTCTTTGGTTCCTGTATGATGATTTGATGTACTAAGCCTTTTTATTTTCTTGCTTTTGCATTCTTTTTCTTATTTAGACATTAAAACGACTGTGTAGCTACTTTGGTTAGCCTATTTTTCAACGAATGTTTAGCTTTCTGTGAATCAAAAGTGTTTTTCAACACTGGGATATCTTCCACTTTTTAAGACAAGTTCTTGGCAAATTCTGGGCTGTTTTCATAGACACAGAAATAATATAGTAATTATTTAGTCCTGTCCAGAAACCTCCCATTCAGGTGTAGATTAAATTGGTAGATTGGTAAATCCTTGTTTGCTTCTAAAATCTCAATAAATTACCTGACGAGCAGCTATGTAGTTCTGACCCAGTGGTTTGGGTCGATTTCCTGCAGGAGGAGGTGGTGGAGGTGCTCCTTTGGGTTTTGCTTTTCCAGGCTGTAATTAAACGTTTATGGTTCATAAATGTAATGAACAGTCGTTGCAGCTAAAGCAGCTCAGTCTCTGTGCAGTAGATGGTGTTACCTGATGTGACACGAAGGCAGAAGGTGGTCCTACGTTCGGGCGCTGAATGGATCTTTCCACTGGAGCCTGTTTCCTCTGGGTACGTGATCTGGAAGAAATAATTTAATAAAATCCTTGTCGTCCTAAAAATTTGCTTTAACCAAGTGGTTCTAGGCACTATGTTGTTGAGTCTTGGTGTAAGCTAACCATTTACTGTAGCTAACTCTCCAGGTTTCTGATAGCTTTATTCTTTATTGTTTGGCAAACTTTTTCCCAAGCTTTACTATTGTGTTTTCAATAGATATTTATATATTTTTTTCTTTCGGTTAAATGTAACTTTAAATTGTATTCCAGCTTATGTATATTTATTTTGGGCATAATTCAAACAGTTATTTACAGTATGTAAATAGCCAGAAGAATCTCCAAAAGATTCTTATACTTACGTAGGCAACAAGGTTCCCTTCCGTTTTTTCCAGAGGAACCCCAGCACACCTGCTATGATTCCTACAAGTATGAGTATAACTGCTATAGAAACTGCAATCTTTGCTCCTGCAGGACACAAAACATGTATTTAGTTTGGAGGCATCAGTAAAGTTGTTTGAAATAAACCTGTTTACACGTTGTGGTTACCGGTAGAAAGAGAAGATAAATCTCCGTCCTTTGTGTTGCAGTAAGGAGGCATCCACCCAGGTTCACACTGACACTCGTCCCTGTGGTTACACACCTGAAAAAAAAGTTTGTAAATAAGGTCTGCAATTATAAGTAACAATTTTCAGATGAATAATCGCATCCTGGTCAAGTCAGATTCAGGTCAAGTCTGTACAGTCACCGTTCTAGGAACAGTGGAAATATTCGTGTTGATTCCCCACAGTTCCTGGTCAGTGGTAAAGTCAATGGCATGATGATTCTGTAAATTGGGAGTCAAGTTCCTTGGTCCATGTCTAATTATTTTGGGCCATGTTCTTTAGTCTTAAGGTGGACTTGTGCAAATGATCAAAAAACAGAGAAACTGCATACTCACAGCATGACCTGGACACTTTGCAGAACAATTAAAATTCCTGTAAGCTACGAGCAGATCCACACACTCGTTCTCACTGCAGACCTGGAAAAGTAGAAATGAGACATTTGTCGACAAAGTTTACAATGAAAAGGAACTCCCTTGTCTCAAGACACAAAGAAATCCATATAAATGTAAGTATGAAACCAAGGGAGTTAAACGGAAGAGTTCATGGAAACAGCAGATCATAGTGTTTTTCTTTTAAAGGAGAAAGAAATGTAAAGGAATATCAGTTTATGATATTGGAATTTATTATTGTTGTTATTTTTTATCACTAATCAAGAATACTGTCAACATTGTAATCCAGCAGCAGACAATCTGATTGATTTTTTTTTTCTGCAAGAGTGTTTTTCCTTTTTCAGGAATAAAATCACGATATTTCTAATCAATATTTTAAAAAGTGCCTACAATGGTGTTTGTTCCATGGCTGAAAAGAAAATATATGTACAGTAGAAAATAAAGACCTAGACATAGAGACACACGCTGCTCATTACCTTTCCATCCCCGCACTTTGTCCCAGTGTCCACCTGACCGTGGTCTTTGGTGTGGTCCTCAAAAAAGGCGGCCTTGCAGTTGTCCACTCTGACCATGCGGCCGTAGTTCGGATTGTCTTGACCATGGTGACAGAAGAGTTTCCCACAAAACTTGTCTCTAGAGGAGACAAAAATAGTTTCTTAGTTTTAGGTTTTTAGATATTTTGGGCTCTTGCTGATTACTCTGCTATTAGTTGCTTGTTAGCTATTTGGCTAATTTTATACAATTAAACAGCAGTATTTATATATTCAAATTTTCACTCTTGGGCTTTATTTTAAGCCAATTTGACAATTTTTAAGCAATTTCTGACCTGTTTCTGGACTGAGTTCAAGGATATTGTGGCTTAATATTGATTTAATACTGTTTTTGTTTTTTAAATCAAGCTGTGACTCTAACCCTTTATACATTTTCTCGGTTTACCTCAAACTTTTCTATTTATTTTCTAAGCCACTGTGACTCACTTCTGTTGACAGGGGATGTACTGGTCTTTTGAAGGACGTTTGCAGAAGGCGAAGTAGCTTCCTCTGGTGTTATAGTTGTAACATTGTGCTCTGGCCTCTATAGCACCTGAAGACAACGACGAGAGTTAGAGAACCAAACTCTTTTATATAAATTTTCGAATTGACATAATAAACTGAAAACACTAACTTGCTCCATAAAGTTTAACACACTGGTCTGGCCTCTGTGGACACTGGCCGTTGTAGCAGTAACCGTGGTCTTCATTACAAGGGAATCCATTCACAGCAAACACATCTTCAGGGCAGACGTTGGTCTTCCCATCACAGTACTCGGCCAAATCACACTCATCCTGTTTCGTGCGACATTCCCTGGAGCGAGGCAGGATCTTTGTGTGGAGGCGGGAGACACAGTCATTCATATTAAATTCATATTAAATGAACATTTTTATCATTGTTAATGTTGTATCTTTGTGTAATTAGATTTTTTGTTTAACATCTCATATAAAACAATATTTATTTTAGATAAAAAAAAAGACAAATTCATTGATGATTTTTTTTTCCCCTAAAATAATTAATCAAACGGCCAGCAGATGGCTGTAGTGGGTCATAAACCGGGATTCGAGTTTCAGAAAACTGATAGGAACGGGTACCGCTGAGTCTGACTCACCTTACAGTCCTCACAACATTCTCCCTCTGCACACTGTGCACCATCGTTAAGTGAACACGTGGTGGCGTTGCAACAAGGATTGGTACATTCCTGTAAAGACAGACCACAGAGATTAAATCTAAGATATAAATAAAATAATCTGGGAATGATGCACAGATTAAGCAAATTCTTTCAAAGGAGGATTAGATTTCATGACGATCCATCATACTGTTTACTTAAATAACATAGTAGGTAAAAGCCAAAGGAAGAAACAAATTCCAACCTATACCTAGTATCATAGTATATTATATTGTTGACATTGTATTGTGACACGTTTCACAATGTACATGCATTATATATATGTACAGATGGTGTATATGTTCATCACATCATGTATGTATGAATGTGATAATAACACAGTAACATGCCCATTCCTAAAAAGTCACTTCAACTAAATTTTAATTTGACTTAGAAATAGGTCAACTTCAATTAAAACAGCAAAGACCTTTCAATGTGGACGTCCACAGACATTTTAGGGTTAGGATTACTGTTGGACTTTTTGAAGTAGTAACAATAAATAGTCAATAGTCATAGTCCTGACATCTGTGATCAGCTCTGTGTTCATGAAAATATTGTTTTGTTCATCTTCTTTGGAAAAGCTTGGCCAGAGGCAGCTGAAAGTACCAGCAGAAACTTGTCTGAGCAGGTCCAAGTTCCTGCAACATCTCACTGGAATGCACCTCAGTTATCAGCAGCACCTTCTCTTCTTAAATATTCTATCAAACATCATCACTTGTGTCAGTGTGTAGTATGTCATACATATGATATCATGTGTGCAAGCAGCAGATTATACTGCAGTTTCCATTGTACAATAAAGGTGTCCAGTAAATAGCATTAAATTGATAGTAGTACAATGTGCAGGTTCACAAACATCCATAAGAAGTTCAAGGGTTTCTGTTCTTAAATTAGCGGCGCCATCTGTCTGTGTCAGCATGTCTAGATGCTAACAGATCAGACCAAACCAGGAAGCCGTAAGTTTGACTCTTTTACCTGCACTGTTCCACAGTCACACTGCTCTCCTGCCTCCACAAAGCCATTCCCGCAGACAGGGGGCGCCACCATGCTTTTGTAGTTAGGTCTGTCCAGCATGCAGTCAGGTCTGCGGCCCAGTAGGTACTTTTCGTAGTTGATGCTGCTGCAGCTGCTGAAATACCGAGGTATGTTCCAGCTAAAGGAGGAGTAAAACCAGGCAGCCATTAAATATATCTCTATATATCACTGGCAGTGACTGCTAAAGACCGAGCTAATATGCTAATACTGTGTGTTAAATTAGGCAGAGCCCAAATGTAGTTAGGGATTTTTGTATGCCCAGTTTCCCACCTGAGGGCTGCAGCCATGATGCAGCTTTCACCGGCACAGCTGCAGGCACTAGAGTCGTCATGGTCCATGCCCAGGTTGTGGCCCATCTCATGGGCCAGTGTGGCTCCCACTGCAATGGCACGGTCATTGTGATCCTGAGAGGCAAAATGAGACATACGGTATATTAATCTGATAAAGGAGTAGTGCTGTGTTCTACTTTAATGTTAACCTGGTAATGTTCCTCACCTGTACTACACCAACAGAATGACCTGAACAAAGAGTTCCGATAAAAGCCAGTCCCACGGTCGAGCCTTCAAAATCAATTCCACTGTGGAAACAAAGAAGACCTAGATGAAGTTATGTCCATTATGTCCTAGTCGGTTTCCAGGTCATAGCATGCTGTAACTTTATTTTTATGCTCTTTTTTCTCTTACTTTTGTATTGTTTGTTTATATAGAACCTTTTAAGACAAACCTGATCAGATGAGCATTGTCGTGTTTCGTCCTCTTTACCAGCTCAGAGTTCCTCCACTTCATGAAGGCGTCCAGGTTAGCTCCAGCTGGAGGAGTCACTGCGATCTGGTCACCGTTGGACCAGATCTCCAGTCCCACCAGGGCGATGAAGGTCCTCAGGGGTTTATAGGCCTGCTCACAGCCACAGCATTAGCAGTTGATAAGCAGAAACAGGAAACACTTGATTTCCCTAACTGTAGCAACGTAACACTCACCATGTTGACAAAGTTGACAACTTCAAAAATCCTCTTCCTCAGTTTGTTCTTATCCTCATTCATCTTCCTGTACTGAAAAGTCACAGTGTTTTTGTTAGAGCAGCTGATTGATGACGAACATGTGGTCAAGTTATTCATTTATGTGGTTTTTTGTGCTTTATACCAACGTACTGTATTATAGTAAATCTTTATATTTAACCATTTCAACTCATTTTTGACCTGTTGTTGATTTTGTTAGACAATATTTTATATTTTAGAATTTTAAACTAATGTTTAATTCATTTGGTATTCATTAAGATTTAGTTTCTGTAACTTTTGGTACGTTTTAGGTTAACCTAATATTTAGCTCTATTTTGTTTATGCATTTTCTACATTCTGCCCAGTCATTTAGCTAAGGGCTAGGAGTTTTTATTCTATGTGTTAAGGGCATAATTTAGCTTCAAATTACTGTATATTATATACGTAATCATTATCAGTTGTCTTAGCTACTTAGCTTTTTCTAGCTAACTTGTAGTAATCTTTTGAGATTCTTCAGCTATTCATTGTTTTTGGCTTTGTTCTTTTTGGATTGTTTACAATTGTTGCTTAATCATCATCTACTGTTTTGGCAACTTGTTTTGCTTTCATATTCAATTATTAGTTAGCATATTGAAATATTTTTTCATTTACTTTTACTTTATTCTATTTTGCTAAGCTATTTTGCCTTCTTGGCCATCAATTTAGCTGTTTTAACTAGCATACAGTTTAGCTAAAGTTCGGGGCTTTTGCTGCCTAAGTATCACTTTTTAAAACCTTTTTTAGTTACTTTGAATGTACTGAGACATGAAATACCAACTAAAGGAACTGCTTTGTTTTACCACAAATCTCTGTCAATACCTGACCCTAATTTTAATGTGTTTTTGTGTTTTACCTCACGATTATCAGCAACAAGAAAGAGTTCGAGGTATTTCTGCTGCTGGACAATTGTTATTCCCTAAAAGAAAAGAGGACAAAGTTACCATTAGTCAATAATGGTTAATGTTTGTCTCTATAAACCCAGAACAAATAAATGTTCTGTTGAACCAGGCCGTGGTTGCCATGTTGTTACCCCTGATCTTGAGCGGCTGTGGCTGGTTGGTGGTTCAAAGTCGTCACTCCAGGTGGTGTTGGTGACACCGCAAACTGCAGGGCTGATTTCTTTCTCATTCTCATTGATTGCAGTTACAGCGTGATCACCCTCATCGTTTGCGGTCAGCGGTTCAATCAGATATCTCTGAGCAGATGTCCTGAAGTAGCCCCTGAACCAAGGACACAGCCACATTCAGGGTCAAGGTGACAATTTATAACAAAATTTAAAAAATTTAAAAAACAGTTTCAGTCAGAATTTGAATCTAAATATGGGTTTGATTATTAGTTGTTAACGAAAATAAAAAGGTCTTGAATCAAACTTCAAAAAAATCAGACTCTTGGGACTTTTACAGTTCCTTTGAAGAAAATATTTGGAAACTCAACTTTGACTTAAAGAATTAATTATGTTGTCTTTGTTAGCACAGAAATGGCAGAAATTAGCTAGAAAAATGTAAGAAGATACATAAGGCTGGAATGCCTTTAAAATGTATATGGTATACTGATGTCAATCAAAGTTAGTAGTTAGTTAATTCAATAATTAAAAATATAATCACAAGAATTTAAGGATTAAAATTAAATTCACAGTGTGAGTCTTACAGCCTAAAACAATGAACTGTTACTGTAGAAAAACATGACTAAGAGTTTGCTCTTAAACAACAGCTGAACTCCCTGAAGCCTCACCTCAGTCCGTCACAGGTGCTGATGCTCACAGACGACTTGCTGTCATTCACGATCTTTCCTTGATAGTAGCAGTGATCCTGGGACAGACGCCTCAGTTACATTTTCAACACGTAAAATGGTCTTTATAAAAATATAACAATGTGTTTTTTAATGGATGTGAAACATTAGCTAAAATACATGACACACTTACAATGTCATCAGGAGTCGTGGTGACTCGAGTCCCATCTTCCAAGTAGTGAGTTTCTGAGTAGTCATTGGTGACTAATTCACTGATGATAAAAAGATGACAAGTTTATAACACAGTTATTGTAATAAGAGCATGTAGAAATGAAGAAGTAAAATGAAGAGGGGAATTACATTAAGAATTTATTTGTTTTTTTCATGTTGAAATCTGTCTGGTCAGGCCTCAGCTGTGCCACAATGTTTTAGAAACATTACTGAAAATCTTAACATCTGTTTTATCAGTTATAAACATCAAAACTCAAAGCTACGATGATGTTTCCTACAAATACACAAAAGTATTCAATGACATGAAATGACAGTGTACTTATTACAACAACTACTTTTTGTTTAATTGGCAAAAGAAAATTCACTAAATTTCATTTTGCACAAATGCAAATTTGTATGCATGCTCAGAGGACATTTAACTGTTTATTTATTGTTATTATGACAAGGTCTTACATACTGTATGCCAAGATATTGTGCCGGTGCAGTTCAAAACAATTAACGGTTAGCCTAGATAGTTAAAAAATGACCAGAAAATTAAAAAAAAAAAAAAAAAAAAACATCTGAGGAAAATTAAATTAACAAAAAAGCCAAAGATAAAATGTTGCCACTGTAGCTCAAGTTAGACCATAACTAGCTCTTTGGTGATAAAATGTCGAGCCGAGTCAGTCAATTAATTATTAAATATGAAGTTCAAAGGTAGCTAAAAACAAACAGAAAAGCTACTAGATAAACAATACACTGAATACATAGATAATGGTATGCTGGAGCTTGGTCATGAGCTACCAGAAAGCAAAGAGATTGTTAAAACTTTATATAAATGAATCCACATGATCCTAGAAGCCAAAACATTCCCTCCACCTCTTTGTCTGTTGACGTTTGGCCATAAATTATTACTGAGCAAAAATTTTAAAATGACCAAGACTGGTTTATGTACACTGTTGTTTAAAAGAAAAACACCTACATTTAATTCACATGTTAATTTTGTAATTGATATTTATCAATAAACTTACTCATTTCTTTCCAGATGCATTTCCATGTGTTCTCCTCTCACGGTCATCCCATACTTTATTATATCTGGCCTCAGGTTCTGTTTGTGGTGAAGAGAAAAACAAAAAACAAAAACTATTAAAAATTCTGCATATATAAATAATACACACTGATTATAATGTTATTTTCACAACATATATAACAATAACATTTCCTGTCTTTGGAACTGATTTGTAAATAAACAGAGAAGCAACAGGCTTTACCCCTGCACTCCGTCTTCTGACTGTGTGAAGTCGGATCGGTCGAACCACCTCATAGTCCTTAGCTTCCTCAAATTTATGGCTTCCGTGGCTCTCTGTGAGAAGACACACACACACACACGCACACACACACACACATATTAATGACTTAATTATAGGACAATAAGGAAACATTAATAATACTCTGGTAAAATGTTAAATCACATTATTGACAGATATAAGTTCAAATATAATTCTTGATTACATTTGAACTTGGTCTGTTACTTTTAAAGTACTTATTAAGTTATTTCTACAAAGAAAATCTATATATCAGTCAGGAATATTGATATATCTGTGTATATATACTTGTATACGTGTATACCTCTCTTACCCCCCAAATTTCCCCAAAATATGATAATAATAACAATCAGAATAATAATTAATAATATTATTTTTAACATTTTGTTTGCAGTGCAGTCAGAAACATGAATGTTACTTCTTTGTACTTTTTCTCATTTGTCACTTGTTGATCAATGATGGTTTCTTCACACATTACAAACCAAGGAACACGTCGTCCTGTTTTCTCCTCATTTGAACCGGATGTTGTCTCACCAAAAGTGACCAAAGTGTGTACTTCCTCCTTTAAAAGGAGATGACTCAGATAACCATGACTGCCACTGAGTCACCGGTGTGTGACGTGTGAAAAAAAACACACACACCTGAGAGTGTGTGACGTTGGTTATGAGCCAAAGTTCAACTGTGTTTTTTTAATATTAGCTGCAAAGATGAGAATCCAACTTATCTTGTTTGTGAATGTGTTAGAGATTTCAGTGTCAGTCACCTGTGTGCAGTAGGTGACTGACACTTGTTTATATATATATATAAACATGTGTCCACACATTACTCAGGAGCTTGTTTTGGAATCTGTGGATTCTTCCTCTTAAATTGTTTTCAGTTCCTTCAGTTACCAGCAGTTTATATTATTATTATTATACTGTTAGCAGATGGATGGTGGTGTTGGGTTGTTTTTTTGTTTTGTTTTTTAAGATGCGTAGCAAACTGCTCAAACGGCTCTACTGAGCATGTTACAGGCCAACAATATTACCCAGAACCTCATGGCCACGGAGCCACGGCAACAATTGTTTAGATATCCCTTAAAGACTCTAGTACACAGTACTTCTGCATTCCATTGTTAAATTGCTAAACAAGAACCATCACAATAATGTTCAAACCAATTACTTTATTTTTTAATACAATATTATTCAAATGACTAGTGTGTTTCTCTTTTTTGCTTGTTTGTTTTATCTTGGTCTGTATTTTGACATTGGTTATAACAGTTCTAATAAAATAATAATACAAATGTTGTGAAAACAAGGCATTCTTTTAGATAAGCCTTACTTGTTAAAATGATTAACTTGTTAAGACATTATTTAATTGAAATTACAAGATTGGACCCAGTTATGAGGGTGGGTGAACAGAATGCATATTGATGAATAAAACACTTTTAGTTAAATTATTAAGTTGAAACCACTAGTGAACAGAATGCTCATAATCGAGTTCACTTTATTGTAAACCTGCACAGCTAAGTTGGAACAACAATAACTGTACAGTCATGTTAACTCACAGAAGACAATTCAAGGCTTAACGGAACTTAAAATAATGATTCAAATAAACTTGAAATTATGAGGCAGCTGGTTAACTTGTGATTTTAAGTTAGTCATTCTTCTGAAGACACTGCACTATTTCAACTAACTTCCTATGACATCATTTTTCAATCAAACTTCATTTTGTCCACCTGTTACAAAGTTCTTGTGTTACTTCTGCTACTTACAGAGAATTGTTCTGCTAACTTGCTAAGCTAAAGGTGCCCTATTAAAGACCTTTCTGGCTTTTACACTTAATATTGGCTTTTTTTGTGTTTGTTTTTGCTAAATTTCAGTTCTGGCAAAACTGTACTTTACTTTTTTTGTGATTTTCTTAACCTTCTAGGTAACTTTAAGCAAATATATACTTCTTTTACCTCAACACATTTTTCAAAGTGAGATGTCCTCTGTCAGAAATTGCGTAAAACATTTTGGGTCAAAAACTAGCTTATCTCTGAAACTAAACTTTGACATAATTTGAAAATCCTATTCCCGATGTTTGTCATTTAGCTTTTAGCTTCTACATCATTTGGAAGCAGCAACGGCCTTAAAATAAATCACTGTTCATATAGAAAGAACGATCACATTCACTTTCAGGTCATAACTGTAGACCTTTTCACCTGAGTTCATGTCAACACAGCTGAGAGTTTTTCAGGCAAAAACTGGTTTAATTATTGTCTATACAACAACAGTAGTTATATAATAATGAAACAGTATCTCAATAAAAACCAGTCCAGTAAGGTAAGACATTAAAATCTACGCCGACAGCAGATAAAAAGTGCTGTGAATGAAAGGACAGGCTTTAGTTATTAATTAGCCTTGATGTGCTCAGTGCAGGTAACAGTATCCACACTGTCTTACCTGAGGGGGCGCAGCAGGCCATCAGGAGGAGCATCCATAATAGAATCCGAGTCATTGTCCGAGTCATTGTCCCAGTGCAGACAGTAGCTGTAGAGACAGAGCAGAGCGCTGCCGTCTCTGATCAGTCTTTAATGCTGCCTGCCTTCACCTGCACCCTTTCTGTTCAGGCTGGGCCACACCCCCTCTAGCCCCACTCACAGACATTTCCTCATTGACAACAGAAAAAAAAAATTGCACCACAACCGGCCTGAGCACGCCCCTGCTGAATTGCAAAAATGCAGGAAGTACAGTGCACACAGCTCAGTCTGCAGGCCCAGCTGCTCAGTACATGCATCCAGCCAATCAGTAGCCAACAGTATCCTCTTACAGACCCCACGCTGTTATCCACTCAATTTTCGACAAGGAAGTGAGGTTCAATTTCTGACGGCAGAATTAATCCTGCAACATATTTGGAGGATGAAACTTCTGCTGCTGCTGCAGCAACTTTGACTCACCGTGACATGTTGACAGAACCGAAACCCACAGACGAGATGGACAGTGACACTTAGTCCCGTGGAAACAGAAAAGAAACATACAACAATATGTATGTTGTAGATAAAAAGATGTTGTTTAACATCATTTTTTATATATTTAGCATACAATAGGTAAGGCTAAAAAAACAAGAAAATGAGTTGTGAACTTTGACCAGAGGTCATTTTAAAAAATATGTTTCAGCTCAATTCCACAAATGCCTAAAGTTAACCTGAAACGTACAGGACGACCATGGATATTTGAGATAAAACAGCGGACTTTATCCAAAATCGCTAACAGGAAGCTACAATGAGCCCAACAGTTGGGCCAATGTGATATTAGTCCAAAATTTCTGGTGGTGGTGATTAAAAACATGTCCTGAAAACATTACTGTTGTTGAATTACATAAAGTAAATTTCCTGCTTTGACCAACAATGTTTTTATCCTCCTACCTTTTATGGTGAAGAAAACCTCAGATTCTTTTTCGTCTTTTGCACCAGTGAGATAGCTGACTGACTCACCCACTGTTATTATGACATATGGTAATTTCCATGTACGAATAGATCCCATCACTACACTGCCATCACAGTTTCATCAAAGTTACGCAACACTGCTTGAATCTGAGACTGTACTGTACTGTACTGTACTGTACTGTACTGTACGTCTGTTTGCCTTGAGCTGATGCTGGGTCCTCGTCTTCTATCTGTCCCTCCATCTCTCCTTCTGTCCTTCACCCACTGACGACATGCCTGGAGTCACAGTGGAGACAGAGTGACAATAAGACCAATGTGTTCACTCCCTCGGCAGCAGACAGGGACATTTCAGGACACAGGGTCAAGGAGTAGTGGAGGTTCAGAGGAAAATTATGTTAGCAGTTTATTTTACTGCCTCAGTGATCACACATCTGTGACTGAGCTAATAATAAGTGACATGTGTGAAAGCGGTGGCCGTCCCAGGAAGTGTAGGTACCTAATACTCATTGTCAGGAACATTCAGACTATTAATAGAAGGGCTAAACCTGTGTCATGAAAAAAAACAAACTCAAATAAAGCAAAAATATAAAAATAAGATGACATGACAATGGCAAACTACTGATTCATCCAGTAAGTGTTGAAACTGTGCTCTGGGCCTGATCTTGGTGTTGTGTCATGTTCTGCATTTACACAGAATTAACTTCCCAACTGATTCCTGTCCCCGCACATACAACAGAACAAATTCTCTAGTCTGAACCTTCAGTACTTTTCTTTACCTTCACCTGACTTCTCAACAAATTGTCAGCTAAAGGATTGTCTGTCTGTTTAATTTGACAAATGTCTATTTGAAAACATATTTTATCTCTGTTATGTTGTGTTATCAGTACAGTTAACGTTCATACTTCTTCATCTTCATGCCCATATGTGTGGCCACAGATGTTGGTTTAGCTCAGTGTGGAAACAGAATATGTTTGTAAATATCATCTGAACCATTTAATTTGACAACTACTTCGTGTAGACTTTGCGTTAGTAAATTTTAACAATGTAGTATTTACTCATTTGTTATTGTAACATTCAGGACATGACCTCAGTGAACAAAGGCCTCAGTGTAGTGACGGTCCTGCTCAGCTCTGGTTAGCTTTTCACTGGATTTCCCCCCTTTTGCAGTAACAGTGAATATTTCTCCCACTGTCAGTTAAAAGAAGACCCAATGAAGGAGTTTACTATTTTGATTTACTTTTTTAACTGCTGTCCTCTGAACACCTGCTGTAGACTTACACTCACATGCTGACGTGTGAGTCAGTGTAATCACATGTTTTGTCTATCATGATTGTAAGGAGAAGAATGTGGTATATGGTTCCCTGGATAACTTCTTGTAAAATTGGCTTAACTCAGCAAAATGTCTTCTTGTCACAGACGCTTTGAGGAAAAAAAAAGAAGTACATTTCACTCACGTGGCAAAGTTCGCTCCACCACCACCACCACAAAAAAAAAAAAAAGAAAAAAAGAAAAAAAGAAAGACCAGTGGGTGAAAACAAAGCCATAAATGAGAAGGGTTTTTTTTGCACACTGTACGTCATGTTGTGGATGATAAGAACGGCGTTGAATGTCAGGTTCATGTTTCCTTATCTTTGCAGCGAAGTGTGAAGAACTTTTACAACTGCCTCTCTCTCGAGCTCTTTTAAAATAATGGCTTAACCTTCCTCTTGTGTTCACTTTCTGTTACCATCTCTTATCTTAACGGGTCGGTTTTGACCCGTGTCTTAAATCAGCTGTAAAATACACTAAAAACAATTAGCTATCATCCAATTTGTTTCTCATCTCTTGGTTACCTTGTTAGGCTTCCATATCAATGAAAATATTGGTTTTAATATTTTTGATGTGGGCCTCTGGGCCTTTTTTTTGTCAGTATACCCCTCGATTTCAATTAAAAAAAATGGTAAAATCAACCTCAACAGAATCATATAAATAAATAAAAGGTTGTTGTGTTACCTGACTATTACTAAGCACTATTAGAACACATCTCTTAAATAAATTTGTTTTATTTATTTTTTAATTTTAATATTATTAACTATAGTAACATCTATGGTGTTACGGGTCAGTTTCGACCCATATGTATTTACTTCAAGAAAAGGGCAAAAAAGTTTTTTTTTTAAAATTATTATTATTTTATTTGCTCTGGTATCTCTGTTGTCAAATCTGAGGACTCTTGATATTATGCGAAAGGTCTGAAGTGACATTGTTGAGCCAAAAATATTTCTGCCTGCCGATGCGTCCCAAAGACTATCAGTGGCCTCATTGCAGGATCTGTACACTCCAGCAAGAAGAAGAACACCAATATAGGCATCCAGGTATTCCTCATCAATGTCTTTCCACATGTCGCCCTGGACTTTTTTTCCTTCCA